CCGAGTGATTCTGTGATTCTGTGATTCTTGTTCCTGTTAACCTCACTGGTCTCATTGCTCTGTGATTACTGTTCTTTCAGAGTTGTATCTATACTTGCTTAAGCTTTGTGGTCAGTAATGATTTAATGATTTTTAGTTTCAGTTCTGATTTTTGAGTTTGAAGGGAGGCTGATGGCAACACTAAAGAGAACTGCTAGTTGAGATCATGATCAGAGTCATTTCAGTCCATCCTACCTTCCCATTTGCAGGATAATTTTTACAGTAATAGGGTTTAGAAACTGTGTCCTATGGAGGCTAGCAGTGCTTGAATTAAAAAAAATACTACTGGATGGGCTTTAAATTTTGATTGTGTCTCTTACTCAGAAAGATAATGGGTAACGAATTAGGGCCAGTTAGAAACAGGAAAAAAAGTTAGGTGACTTTTGTAGAGTTCAGGTCATGACCAATGAATTAATGGCTCGAAAACTTATGGGTTCTTTTTTCCCCTCTCTCTTTACTGTGATAATATAACAACAGAAAAGCAAGAATTGAAGTTCCTTTTTGAGTTTAAATATTAAGGTTTAAATAAAAGATTGCTTTTTTGTGAGTGGGAATTGAAAATACGTTGGAGAAGTGTAAAAGTAGTAGGATACCCTTCAATGTGGGACAAAATATTTGGTGACAAACTAGGTACGTAATATGTGATTTTTATTGATACAGATTTTAATACGTTATTCTTATTGATACAGATATGGTCCTGAACATCGTGAGCACGTGACTTCAAAGATGGACAACTGGATCTCTTATAAATTGTGATTGGCCTTAAGCTGACTTACAACCGTTGAAGAACTTAACAGGATTTCTCTTGTTCCTGATTTCTGCCTATCTAATTGCCTCACACCACCAGCTTAATCATGTATGGAAGTGCTCGGTCAGTTGGTAAGGTTGAGCCCAGCAACCAGAGTCCAGGGCGTTCACCAAGGCTGCCACGGTCACCACGCTTGGGCCATCGTCGAACCAACAGCACAGGAGGCAGTTCTGGGAGTAGTACTGCGGGTGGCAGTGGGAAAACCCTTTCTATGGAAAATATTCAGTCCTTAAATGCTGCCTATGCTACATCCGGCCCTATGTATCTAAGTGACCATGAGAACGTGGGTGCAGACACCCCAAAAAGCACCATGACTTTGGGCCGATCTGGGGGGCGGCTGCCTTACGGTGTTAGGATGACTGCAATGGGTAGCAGCCCTAACATTGCCAGTAGTGGAGTTGCCAGTGATACCATTGCATTTGGGGAGCACCATCTCCCTCCGGTGAGTATGGCATCTACTGTGCCTCACTCACTGCGGCAGGCCAGGGATAACACAATAATGGATCTGCAGACACAACTCAAAGAAGTGTTAAGAGAAAATGATCTGCTTCGCAAGGATGTGGAGGTGAAAGAAAGCAAGCTGAGTTCTTCTATGAACAGTATCAAGACCTTCTGGAGTCCTGAGCTAAAAAAGGAGAGAGCTCTGAGGAAAGATGAAGCTTCAAAAATCACCATTTGGAAGGAACAATATAGAGTTTTGCAAGAAGAAAACCAGGTTTGTCATCTCAGTGCACTGCTGTGTTAGTGCAGTAGCACGGTTAAATGAATTTAAATGAACTTGCACGTCACATTTAAGCAACTAAATTAAATTGATGCTTTTGCCAGGTAATTGGTATGGATAAGATGTGTTTTCAACTTGAAAGCCTCTTTTTAAATGTTCCTTGTCAGACTTGTAAGCTACCTCGAGTGCTCATTTTTCCTTGTGTGTCATGTGGGTTTTTTCCTAGGACTGATGCCAACCACTCGGTTTCCTTTTGGAAGTATTTTACCCTGTTCATAGTTAATATTTCTGTAGTGCAGTGCTTACCGCTTGAAGTGTTCTCTGAGATGCAGAATGTACTAACTGCTGACCCCAAATCCAGCTGAACTGTTGCTGAATGTTGACAGATTGCCAGTAAAACAAAGTTCACGTTACACTGGTCTTATTACAGAGCTCCAGTTAAAACCTCCGGACCTGCAGTTTTCACAAACAGATATAAATTGTGTTCTTGGCTACATTTAAGTAACACTGTTTAATACCTGCTCATCTATTCTTTTGTCATAAGCTGTGCATATCTTGTTATGCAACTATCATAAAGCACCCTACAGTTCTTTTTGTAGTGGTCTGGCTAGTTAGGGAATAGGCAGAAGAACAGAGAATCTTGAGCATCTGGTTCTTTTGTCTTATCCCTCTTAAAAGCAGCCGTAAATTAGAATGAAACTGAGAGGTTGATTAAAATTGAGGTCTCTTTGTAGTCAGCTCTAGTTATTAAAAGCTTTTTAAAAGTTTTCCCACCTAGATCTTCTTGCTAGCTTAATCCTGTCTTTGAGTTACTGTCCTCCTGTTTAGCCATTTCTGGCCAAATGTGAGTTAGGCATCTCTCTGGGCTCTCTGGTAAGAAACCTCACTGCTCTTATGGAAAACAGAACCTGTGTCCAACTCTGAAAGTTTCATGAAACGTAAGTCAGCTTCACCGTAACAAAATTACATTCTGTATTGAGTTTTTAAATACACAAGAAAGTTTAATTAAATAGTTGACATATTTCAAGTGTGATCATGTTCTGGAAGCTCTTAAGGTATACTTGATATTTTAGGCAGTGTGTCTTTTTTTAAGATTTGCTTTAGAAGGTGGAGGGGAGAGGGGAAACGGCTGGAGGAGAAGAAATAGTGCTGGTAGTACTTTATGTATTATACTCTTTCAGGTGACCTGTCTTAAATAGTAGATTCCTTTTGGTTAATGATTGTCTGCTACACTGAAGATGTCTGGTTTTCTTTTATCTCTCTCAAGAACTGAGTTGAAGAAAGTATGTTGTTAGCACAAAATAATTTAATGAATTTGTCACGTAGTTTTATAGCTGTATTCTTACTGAATGGTAAGTATCACAACATGGGATTTGTTAGTGTGCGTGACATTTCATATTCATTTTCATGTGTCTTCTTGGAATTAAGAAAACCGAAAGTTAAATATTTTTTATTATGCAAGTAGGATTTCCTTAGAAGGAGTAATCCAGTGAAAATTTTAGTTATACTGGTACAGTACCAGTATAATGAGTATATGGAACACTATTTACTCAACTTTCCAGTGCTCTTTGTATTTCAGATGCAGGTAAGTATTTAAATTCTCAAATTCTTTTCAATTTTGAAGTTCTGTTTTCATAGTGAAGAGAACGTCTTGGAATACAATAACATTGTTTTCTGAAACCAGTTTTGACATTTGAGGATGCTGTGGAAATCTTGCAAGAAAAATGCAAAGAATGTGTGGTTTAGAATGGATTAAGTGGTTACTAAATACGTATAGATTGGAGAACAGTGATTCTTCTCTCTTGAGGTTTATTTTTTTTTTCTTGACTTTCCTTTATCCCCTAATTAAACATTTACAGATATTTCCAGGCCGCTGTTCTCTAGGCAATCACTATAATTACTACCGCACTGGTAGAATTGTATAACGTTGGTCCAAAAAAAAAAGAAGGGTGCCATTTAAAAGTAAAAGGCTATTATTGCAGTGAGCTGTAAAAACTAAGAATGCTAATTAATAGATTATAGTTAGCTAACAGTGTGTCCTAATTAAACTCTGAATTCATTACGTCTTCCATAGCCTTTTGGAGTTGGTCACTTCAGCCCTTTATAAGGAAGATCAGTTTAATAGGATTTACTGTAATTAAACAGACTTCTGGTTAGACACAGAACAAGGGATTTCTCTGATCTGTTGAGGGACCAGAAAAATCTTTTCATTACCCCTCCATCCTCTACCTAAAATGAGTTCCAGGATAATTGCTGGAAGTGGTGTTTTAGACCTCAATATAGGTATTTCAGCACATCACTTTTAGTAATGACTTCTTGCATGGGCAGAACATGTGCTTTATAATCAGTTTAGCTAAGGCCAAATGCACTGTTAAAAATTGATTCAACTCATGGAGCCAGGATGCTGTCTGACTCATGCCGTTATCTGATAGTTGTCTCAGGCTCTTTGCTGTGGTCTTGGCTCTTTATTCCTGTATGCACTGTTGATTGTCCCCGATTGCGGTTTTTTATTGCTGTTCTTGTCAACTCAGCTGTGAGTGATTGAATTGCCTGTTGGTTTTGGAAGTTGTTAAAAACAAGTGAACATGTGAGCTCTGGTTGATTGCTACCTCAGACTCTTGTGAAAAATGCACTGGTGTCTTTGGGTGTTCTTTCCCACTTCTTGGAAGCATGTGGAAATAAATCACAATTATTGATGTATTGCTTACTGATTTCCAGGAGAGTTTCTGGATTTGATAAAGATCAGAGATTAAATAGGGAAATTAAAGAGCACACTGCCTGTCCTGAGGCAGTCACTTCTCTTTTTGGTTGTATTCTTAGGGCTAGGTAGCAGGCGTATCTTGGGCACGATATTGAAAATGCAGCTCTCGCTTAGGTTGAGAGTGCTTTAATCTTGCTTGGTTGTGGTATTTTCACCACTTGTGCAGCACAGCTCTATTCACCAGCTACTTTGAGTAAATAGTACAGCTGTGGAGTGTAGCATATGCTGAATTTTATGTTCATCCTTTGTTACTGATCTTGAAGATCCAGAAAATCCTTTATTTTCATAAACGGGGACTGTCATTATCATCTCATTTTGAATATCTCAGAACTAAGTGTGGAAAGTATTCCTGTAGTTAACATAGATGCTTGGAAAAATACAATACTTTTCAGTGCGTGGTGGATTAGTTAATCAATTATATTTTGCAACAAGCCAAAAGTAGAATGCAAATTATTTTTGAAAGGTTAACAAACAATTGCATATTGAAAAAGGAACTGATGGAGTCGATAAACAGAAGCTTATTTTTGCCATGGTATCACTCTCCTCAGCATGCTTTAGTAGGAAGTGTATTTTTCTGAGTTGAAAAATGTATTTTTTAGTGTGTGTGGTTTAAAGGTTCCCTGGAAACTTCTTCATCAGAAGCCAGAAGAGGAAAGGAAGGACAGTGTGAATATTTTTTACACTTTGATGGAAATAATTTCCCTAAAAACTGGATCTTTGTGGACTCTGAAGCTCAGAAAGAAAGGAACTCCTCTCAGTTGAAACTTGTTTATAACAAGGTGATTGTCCCTAAAAATAAGTAGTGCAGTGCAAATTTGGTGTCTAATGCCCTGCATTGAATTTTCCCACATTTTTCATCTACATTTAAGATCTGATTAATGTTTCAGGTTAAATAATGTGTACTGCTAAGGACATCTTTTTACTTTGATGTATTTCTGTGGTCTTTTTGTGGTTAGAGGCCTTGGATGTCTGAGTGAGGGAAAATATTTCTGAAAGGAATTTCACCTTGCTTGGTGTAAGCACTTGAAGAACATTCTACTTTGTTGTGATGGAGAAGTGTGATGGGTGTACTGCAGCATTTCATCAGCATTCATCTCCAGGCTTCTGTAATTGCATCCTCACAATCAGAAGTACTCTTTATTTTGTGCATGTCCCTTTTAAAATATAGTTGTCCAAGTGTTAGCTTCTTAAAGGGGTTGGGTGCTGCTGTTGTGAAATGGCTGAGCTACTGGGTGCATTCTTCCTCTGAAAACCAGATTAACTCACTTCATTGATATCTATAAGAAATCTGAGGAAGAACTGTTCGCAAGGGCATGTAGCAATGGGATAAGGGGTAATGGATTTAAACTAGAAAAGGGTAGGTTTAGGTTGAATATTGTGAAAAAGTTCTTCAATATGAGAGCAATAGATCACTGGAACAGGTTGCCCAGAGAGGTGGTGGAGGCCCCATCCCTGGTGATATTTAAGGTCAGACTTGACAGGGCTGTGAGCAACCTGATCTAGTAACAATGTCCCTACTCTCTGCAGGGGGATTGGACGAGATGATCTTTAGAGGTCCCTTCCAACCCAATACATTCTGTGATTCTATGATTTTATTTTTGGTTTTGTGGTGGTGTTTAGGTTTTTTTAATTATATATTTAAAAAAATGTTTTGATTTGTCTTAGTACTGTGTCAGTCTAATACTAGTACCATTCCTGAGGTGATTAGTTGATAGAAAGCTAGACTTTTTCCCATTATGGATGTTTCATTGTGCAGTATGTGGTTCCATACTTGTTTCTTAAAGGCATTATCTGTGTCCCACAGCATTACACTTAAATAATTCTTTCAGTGGCAGACGTCTGCTGACTCTAGAATGCTGCCAGCTTTAAGTTTCCCTCTTTCCCCAGTTGCAGCATGAAATTATAAATTATTTATCTTTTAGAATAAAGCAAAACTGTCTCCTCAAGGTTGCTTAATATCTGAGGCATTTGTCAAGATGCAACACTGTGTGACTTCAACAATTGTCATGTAATCACCCAAGAGATGGGCATTCTGTGTTCTGTCTTTTTGCAATTCTATAAGGAAATAAAATTAGACTTTTTCTGCTTCTCTAGGTTCACCAATGCTGCTTTTCTCCCATGTTTCCTAGTGAAGTAGAATCTAATACCTTGACTGGCTTTCAACTGTGGCATAGGCTGAACAACTGGCCTCTGATCCATTAAACATCCAAGGGGAATACTACCAACTTAAAAG